TTTCCTGGCGGAAATAACTTTTAAAGGACAGAGGAAACTACTCATATAGGCCTTTGTTATTAAAATACTACAAAAAAACCTCACCTATATTTAAATGACTTGAAACCTTTATTTCATAAAGAAGCATGCCTTTTACACTATGGTTAAATGGGAAAGTGTAATAGTGAATGTGCCTCTGTTATATAATATACATGGATACTCCTGTGAGAAAGGAAGGAGGGGAGTAAGTTCTGGGAGCTCTCAGGATTGTGACCCAGTGCTGGGAGGCTGGTGGGAATAGGGAGTCTCTGTCCTGGGCTACCAGAAACAGTAAAGTGGTCAGTCTGCTTTAATACTACAAATACTATAATACTTGATGTGGCATTTTACTGACTACCTTTATTTTTAATAAAAAAATCTTTAGATTCAACTTGTATTATTTTCCCCAAGTTCATGTTTCACTTGGAAATTTAGAGGATGCAAGGTTTGCTTTATATAAATTGTTTTTATATGTATTACTCTTTGAAGCAAGTCATATATAAAATTAGTTTATAAACCATGTCATTTTGTCACTGATAGTTCTGTTAAAAGTATCTAATCATTCACAGATACAATTTGAAAAATTATGCTTTATCAATATATCTATTATAGAAAATGTAGTCAAATCAAAGAAGAAGTAAAATCTTGATATAAGTAGGCTACATAATTAATACCTGCTCTAGGGACTGTCTAGCTTTGCATACTCATTCTCTGTTTGTTTCATCTCCTGTTCATGCCCAAGTCAGTTTTGGTAGTGGAGGCCTGTAATACCAGCTACTCTGGAAGCTAAGGCAGGAAGATTGTAAGTTCAAGGCCAGCCTGGACTACAAAGTGAGTTCAAGGCCAGTCTGGGCAACTTAGCAAGAATTTATGTAAAGTAAAGTAAAAATAGGGTTTGGATAAAACTCAGTGGTGTAGTGTTTGCTGAACATGCATCCGACCTTGAGGTCAGTGGCAGAGTGTCAATGCCAACTTGTAGGAAGTAAGTTGGGCCACTAGGGCTAGAGTAGGATGCTTTGGAAAGGCCCCAGGCCTGGAACACCACTTCTAGGTGAGTACTGGCTAGAGTCTTGACTAACAGGCAGTAGGCTACCTTTTATTTTTATTTATTTATTTATTTTTTTTTCTATTTATCTTTTCTTTTCCTCTACTTTTTTTAAAAAATACATCATTTAATTGGACTTTTGGTGTTTCATACATATTTACAAAGATTTGAATCCTTTTATAGAATGAAGTCTTATTAGAAGTCACCAGCCATCAAAGCTGCCATTGCCACTGTAGGACCTGAAAAGCAAAAAAGAGCTACAATTGTATATAGATCCTTGGATTAGCATTATAGCTGAGGGGCATACCTCTGGAGGAGTCTGATAAAATGAAAACTTCACTTAATTAAAGCATTTGAAACTGAGATCTCTTTCTAAGTAAATTTTATGTTCACTGATACTTCCAGTCATGTTAAATTTATTCTCAAGGTCAGTAATGAACATAAACCTATAAATAAGTGCAAAGAAAAGCAGTGCAGTTTCTGAGTAGAGACTTACTTATTGATTGCTTCAACATATAAAGGGTTGACTTGTCAATAGCAAAGCAAAACCTAGTCACAAAAAGAGTTCCTTCTAAGTTAAAGTTTTACCTGGTAATAGCTTATATAAAGCTTTTCTGTCCCTAGGAACAATTTCAGAACTGCAGTTAGCATCTTTTGATATTGATGATACATTTTAAAGCCAAAAAGTCCGCAAGTCATTTATTGAAATGCTTAAATATTGTTTGTTCATCCTAGTGGAGATGTGTTAGTGGCTTTCTGATGTAGGACATGAAGGCTTTCCTGTGTTAACATTTATACTTTAGGGTTAAATGCTAAATATCTTTAATACAAAGTTAGATAGAACTCAAGACTTGAGATTGAATTAACTCAATGTACTTAGAATTGTGTCTTACTACATTTTTCTCTTTCCTTTACTTTCAATTTTTTTTTCAGTTGAGCATGGATGGTATGTTAGTTGCATGCTATATGTGATATTTGTGTGTGTGTATGTGTATGTCTTGATCTTTTATTTACATATTAATACCATGTAATTTTCTTAAAGGTAGGTATGCGTTTTATAAATTGCCAAATTTTATGTGAAGATATTGGGCAGGATTATCTACAGAATGCATGCCACATGGCAACTAATAAGGAACATAAAGTGGTACATACTCAATTGTTTGTTTTCTGAGTATCCTGAATTTTAAATTTCAACTTTATATGACTTAAATATTCTACTGTAGCTAATTTTATTCAGTAAGCACATTAAGAAACATTATTATGAAATTATATTTAATTGACTCCATAGTCCAAAGAATCTGTATTGATTGTATTGTTGACAAAACATTATATAATGCTTAAACTGTTACTTGAGTTATTCTGTCACATGATAATAGAAACTGAAAGTGTTCCGAATCTAGGTATTATCACCCTCCTAAAATTGCAAAAATGTGTCTTTGTTAGATTTCTATGGTAGCGGTTTGCAAATACCACAGCAGGTAACTTTTTGGTAGAAGGTAAAGTCATCTTTCTGATGTGTAAGCCTTTGAAACAAGGGTATCCTTCCTTGGTTACAAAAAATGATGATATATGGAGCTGGAGAGATGGCTTAGTGCTTAAGAGCAGTGGCTGCTCTTTCAGAGGACCCAGGTTAGATTCCCAGCCACCCATATGGAAGCTAATAACCATCTGTAACTCCAGTTTCAGGGGGCTTTGACACCTTCTTCTGACCTCCACAGGGATTGTATAACACGGGTGTACTTACATGTAGGCAATACACTCATACACATAAAAATAAAAAATTAATACATAAAATATTTTTTAAATGATATATAAAAGTTCCAAGGGTCTGAGATATGTCCCAAGTTATAGTGTTTTCCAAAATTGCTCTAAGAATCTAGAAGTCATATGTAAGGTGGTGGTGGGGAGGTGGGTGGGTATAAATGTTATTTTGTACAGAATTGATTTTGAGATATTTGTATTTCCCTCTATGGGCAAACACACACCTATAGGTATGTAGTTATGCAATTACTTTTTCATTTTGTTCCTACTGATGTTAAAAATATTACAAAAACTCTGAAATACAAAATGTACTTAGAAAGAAAATGCTAATTTCATTGATTAAATTAAGCAACTGTCATTCACCACCCCCACCACACAAATCTTACTAGTCTTCTAATTTATAAGCATCAAAAAGTAGAGTTGTTTTGGAGGGAGAAAACCCTTGTCTCTACAACAGCAACCTACATGCTTACTTTGTTTGCCCCAGAAGCATTTCTACAATACTCCAGAGCTTTGCAGAGTGCACTTAGTAAACAACAAATAAGTAGCAGGGCAAAAGCCACGTTGGCAAAACTGTAACTGTGCTCTAGAATAGTCTTTATGCTTAGAACCTCATCCCTATTGTTTTTCCAGATGAGCAAGTTCAAATTTCTAAAAGATTAACACTTTATTATAGGTCTGGTTAGTGGTTGAAGAGAAACTACATGAGGGTCATTGCTGTCATCATTTCAGAAAGTGTTAGCCTCTGAGATGGAGACTCCAGCCTCTGTGCTCTGACTTTGAGCCCTTCTCTTCTTCCCACACAGCCATGCAGGTCCTGGAAGCACAAAATAACCCCCCAAAGACATTTGTTTTGTGTCTGCTTATCAGGGTTGACCCTTAATGAAAAAAGTATGTAAACTTTATCTGCATTTTCTTTGGTACTTTTATTTGTGGACAAATAAGATACTAATGTTTGTTTTTCATGTTGATTCCATTTACTATAAGCTACTTTAAAATGCGCAGTCAGTGCATTTTATATATTTCCTCAAGCACTTTGTGGAATTATTTCTATTGTAAGTTATTATAAGTATGAATTTCTATATATAGACTATCATTATTATTCTAGTCCAGTTATGCTGACTTTTTGCATTTACTTAAAACTGTTAAAACAGCTTTCTAGTACCATCTTATCTATGAGAACAGAAGGATTTACAGTATTGTATATAACATTTCTGTATGTGATTTACAGGAAGACCATGTACTCAGCTGCAGCTTCTAAATCCAGAGAGATTTGCACGCCTTATTAAAGAAGTAATGAATACATTCTGGCCTGGCAGAGAGTTGGTCGTTCAGTGGTATCCATTAAGTGAAGACAGACATCACCCATCTATTTCATGGCTTAAGATGGTTTGGAAGAATCTTTATATTCATTTTTCGGAGGATTTGACTTTATTTGATGAGATGCCACTTATTCCCAGAACTACATTAGATGAAGGTCACACGTGCGTGGAGCTCATTAGACTCAGGATCCCATCAGTAGTCATTTTAGATGATGAAACTGAAGCACAGCTTCCTGAATTTTTAGCAGACATTGTACAAAAACTTGGGGGGATTGTTCTGAAAAAAATAGATACCTCTATACAGCATCCACTCATTAAAAAATACATTCATTCTCCACTACCAAGTGCTGTTTTGCAGATAATGGAGAAGATACCAATGCAGAAATTGTGTAACCAGATAGCTTCATTACTTCCAACCCACAAAGATGCTCTGAGGAAGTTCTTGGCTAGCTTAACTGATACCAATGAAAAAGAGAAAAGAATAATTCAAGAATTGACAGTATTCAAAAGAATTAATCACTCATCTGATCAAGGGATTTCCTCTTACACCAAATTAAAAGGATGTAAGGTCTTGCATCATACTGCTAAACTTCCAGCAGATCTCCGGCTGTCAGTTTCAGTAATAGACAGTAGTGATGAGGCTACCATACGCTTGGCAAACATGTTGAAAATTGAGAAATTAAAGACTACTAACTGTTTAAAGTTTGTTTTAAAAGACATTGAAAATGGATTTTACACACATGAAGAGGTAACACACCTTATGCTGTGGATTCTTGAAAATCTGTCTTCTCTTAAAAATGAGAATCCAAATGTGCTTGATTGGTTGATGCCATTAAAATTCATTCAGATTTCACAGGAGCACATGGTATCAGCCAATGAACTCTTTGATCCTGATGTAGAGGTACTGAAGGATCTCTTTTATAAGGAAGAAGAAATCTGTTTCCCACCTTTGGTTTTTACCTCACCAGATATCCTTCACTCTTTGAGACAGATTGGTTTAAAAAATGAAGCTAGCCTCAAAGAGAAAGATATTGTGCAAGTGGCAAAAAAAATTGAAGCTTTACAGATCAGTTCTTGTCTAAGTCAGGAAGTTCTGAAGAAAGCCAAAACACTCTTACTGGTTTTGAATAAAAATCATACACTCTTGCAGTCTTCTGAGGGGAAGATGACATTGAAGAAAATAAAGTGGGTTCCAGCCTGCAAGGAAAGGCCTCCAAATTATCCAGGTTCCTTAGTCTGGAAAGGGGATCTATGTAATCTTTGTGCACCTCCAGATATGTGTGATGTGGCCAATGCAATTCTAGTAGGCTCATCACTTCCTCTTGTTGAAAGTGTCCATGTAAACTTGGAGAAGGCTCTAGGTATCTTCACAAAGCCTAGCATCAGTGCTGTCTTAAAACACTTTAAAATTGTTGTTGACTGGTATACTTCAAAAACCTTTAGTGATGAAGACTACTATCAGTTCCAGCATATTTTGCTTGAAATTTATGGGTTCATGCATGAGCATTTGAATGAAGGAAAAGATTCTTTTAAAGCCTTGAAATTTCCATGGATATGGACTGGCAAAAAGTTTTGTCCTCTGGCCCAGGCTGTGATAAAACCAATCCATGATCTGGACCTTCAGCCTTATTTGCATAATGTGCCTAAAACCATGGCCAAGTTTCACCAGCTGTTTAAGACCTGTGGCTCAATAGAAGAGTTGACATCAGATCATATTTCCATGGTCATTCAGAAGGTATATCTCAAAAGTGACCAGGAGCTCAGTGATCAAGAAAGTAAACAAAATCTTCATCTTATGTTGAATATTATGAGATGGCTGTATAGCAATCAGATCCCAGCAAGCCCCAATACACCAGTTCCTATTCATCATAGCAAAAATCCTTCCAAACTTGTCATGAAGCCAATTCATGAATGTTGTTATTGTGACATCAAAGTCGATGACCTCAATGACTTACTTGAAGACTCAGTTGAACCAATCATTTTGGTGCATGAGGACATTCCCATGAAAACTGCAGAATGGCTCAAAGTTCCATGCCTTAGCACAAGACTGATCAATCCTGAAAACATGGGGTTTGAGCAGTCAGGACAAAGAGAGCCACTTACTGTAAGGATTAAAAATATTTTGGAAGAATACCCTTCTGTGTCAGATATTTTTAAAGAGCTACTACAAAATGCTGATGATGCGAATGCAACAGAATGCAGTTTCATGATTGATATGAGAAGAAATATGGACATAAGAGAAAATCTCCTAGACCCAGGGATGGCAGCTTGTCATGGACCTGCCTTGTGGTCATTTAACAATTCTGAATTCTCAGATTCAGATTTTGTAAACATAACCAGGTTAGGAGAATCTTTAAAAAGGGGAGAAGTTGACAAAGTTGGAAAATTTGGTCTTGGATTTAATTCTGTGTACCACATCACTGACATTCCCATCATTATGAGCCGAGAATTCATGATAATGTTTGATCCAAACATAAACCATATTAGTAAACACATTAAAGATAGATCTAATCCTGGGATCAAAATTAATTGGAGTAAACAACAGAAAAGGCTTAGGAAATTTCCAAACCAGTTCAAACCATTTATAGATGTATTTGGGTGTCAGTTACCTTTGACTGTAGAAGCCCCTTACAGCTACAATGGAACTCTTTTCCGATTGTCCTTTCGAACCCAACAGGAAGCAAAAGTGAGTGAAGTTAGCAGTACTTGTTACAACACGGCAGATATTTACTCTCTTGTGGATGAATTTAGTCTCTGTGGACACAGGCTTATCATTTTCACTCAGAGTGTAAACTCAATGTATTTAAAGTACCTGAAGATTGAGGAAACAAATCCTAGTTTAGCACAAGATACAGTAATAATTAAGAAAAAAGCCTGTTCCTCTAAAGCATTGAATACACCAGTTTTGAGTGTTTTAAAAGAAGCCGCTAAGCTCATGAAGACTTGTAGCAGCAGCAATAAGAAGCTTCCTGCTGATGCTCCAAAATCATCTTGCATTCTTCAGATCACAGTTGAAGAATTTCACCATGTATTCAGGAGGATTGCTGACTTGCAGTCACCACTGTTCAGGGGTCCAGATGATGACCCGACTGCTCTCTTTGAAATGGCTAAGTCTGGTCAATCTAAAAAGTCATCAGATGAGTTGCCACAAAAGACCATAGATTGTACCACATGGCTTATATGTACCTGCATGGACACAGGAGAGGCTCTCAAGTTTTCCTTGAATGAAAGTGGAAGAAGACTAGGACTGGTTCCTTGTGGGGCAGTAGGGGTTCTGTTGCATGAAACCCAGGATCAGAAGTGGACTGTGAAACCACATGTTGGAGAGGTGTTTTGTTATTTACCTCTACGAATAAAAACAGGGTTGCCAGTTCACATCAATGGGTGCTTTGCTGTTACTTCAAATAGAAAAGAAATCTGGAAGACAGATACCAAAGGACGATGGAATACCACATTCATGAGGCACGTCATTGTGAAAGCTTACTTGCAAGCACTCAGTGTCTTACGGGACCTAGCCACTGGTGGTGAGCTGACTGGTTATACTTACTATGCTGCATGGCCTGATCCTGATTTAGTTCATGATGACTTTTCTGTGATATGTCAAGGATTTTATGAAGATATAGCTCATGGGAAGGGGAAGGAGTTGACCAGAGTCTTCTCTGATGGGTCTACTTGGGTTTCCATGAAGAATGTGAGATTTCTAGATGACTCTATCCTTCAAAGGAAAGATGTTGGTCCAGCAGCCTTCAAGATATTTCTGAAGTACCTCAAGAAAACAGGCTCCAAAAACCTTTGTGCTGTTGAACTTCCTTCTTCGGTAAAACTAGGATTTGAAGAAGCTGGCTGTAAACAGATACTGCTTGAAAATACATTTTCAGAGAAGCAGTTTTTTTCAGAAGTCTTTTTTCCTAATATTCAAGAAATTGAAGCAGAACTCAGAGATCCTTTAATGAATTATGTTCTTAATGAAAAACTTGATGAGTTCTCAGGTATTCTTCGTGTTACCCCATGTGTCCCTTGTTCCTTAGAGGGGCATCCGTTGGTTTTGCCATCAAGACTGATTCACCCTGAAGGACGAGTTGCAAAGTTATTTGATACTAAAGATGGGCGATTCCCTTATGGCTCTACACAGGATTACCTCAATCCTATCATTTTGATTAAGTTAGTTCAGTTAGGCATGGCAAAAGATGATATTTTATGGGATGACATGCTAGAACGTGCAGAGTCAGTAGCTGAGATTAATAAAACTGATCATGTGGCTGCCTGTCTAAGAAGCAGTATTCTGTTAAGTCTTATTGATGAGAAACTAAAAATAAGGGACCCTAGAGCAAAGGATTTTGCTGCAAAATATCAAACAATTCCCTTCCTTCCATTTCTAACAAAGCCAGCAGGTTTTTCTTTGGAATGGAAAGGGAACAGTTTTAAGCCTGAAACCATGTTTGCTGCAACTGACCTTTATACAGCTGAACATCAAGATGTAGTCTGTCTTTTGCAACCAATTCTTAATGAAAATTCCCATTCCTTTAGAGGCTGTGGCTCAGTGTCATTGGCTGTTAAAGAGTTTTTGGGTTTACTGAAGAAGCCAACAGTTGATCTGGTTATAAACCAGTTGAAACAAGTTGCAAAATCAGTTGATGATGGAATTACATTGTACCAGGAGAATATCACCAATGCTTGCTACAAGTACCTCCATGAAGCAATGATGCAAAATGAAATGGCCAGGGTGACAATTATTGAGAAGTTAAAACCCTTTCATTTCATTCTGGTTGAGAACGCATATGTTGACTCAGAAAAAGTTTCTTTTCATTTGAATTTTGAAGCAGCACCATACCTTTATCAGTTACCTAACAAGTACAAAAATAATTTCCGTGAACTTTTTGAAAGTGTAGGTGTGAGGCAGTCATTTACAGTTGATGACTTTGCCCTAGTTTTGGAATCTATTGATCAAGAGAGAGGAAAAAATCAAATAACAGAAGAGAATTTTCAGCTTTGTCGACGAATAATCAGTGAAGGAATATGGGGCCTCATTAGAGAAAAAAGACAAGAATTTTGTGAGAAAAATTATGGCAAAATATTACTGCCAGACACTAATCTTATGCTTCTTCCTGCTAAGTCATTATGTTACAATGATTGTCCGTGGATAAAAGTAAAGGACACCACTGTCAAGTATTGCCATGCTGACATACCCCGGGAAGTAGCTGTAAAGCTAGGAGCAATACCAAAGAGACATAAAGCATTAGAAAGATATGCATCTAATATCTGTTTTACAACACTAGGCACAGAATTTGGGCAGAAAGAAAAACTGACAAGCAGAATTAAGAGCATACTCAATGCCTACCCTTCGGAAAAGGAAATGCTGAAAGAGCTGCTTCAAAATGCTGATGATGCAAAGGCCACAGAAATCTGCTTTGTGTTTGATCCTAGACAGCATCCTGTTGATAGAATATTTGATGATAAGTGGGTCCCACTGCAAGGGCCAGCACTGTGTGTGTATAACAACCAACCTTTTACAGAAGACGATGTTAGAGGAATTCAGAATCTTGGGAAAGGCACCAAAGAAGGAAATCCTTGCAAAACTGGACAGTATGGAATAGGGTTCAATTCTGTGTATCATATTACAGACTGCCCCTCTTTCATTTCTGGCAATGACATCTTGTGTATTTTTGATCCTCATGCCAGATACGCACCAGGAGCCACATCAGTGAGTCCTGGACGCATGTTCAGAGATTTGGATGCAGATTTTAGAACTCAGTTCTCGGATGTTCTTGATCTTTACTTGGGAGGTCACTTTAAATTGGACAATTGCACAATGTTTAGATTTCCTCTTCGTAATGCAGAAATGGCAAAAGTTTCAGAAATTTCCTCCGTTCCATCATCAGATAGAATGGTCCAGAATCTTTTGGACAAGTTACGCTCAGATGGTGCAGAACTTTTAATGTTTCTCAATCACATGGAAAAGATTTCTATTTGTGAAATAGATAAGGCTACAGGAGATCTGAATGTGCTATATTCAGTAAAGGGCAAGATCACTGATGGAGACAGATTGAAAAGGAAGCAATTCCATGCGTCTGTAATTGACAGTGTTAGTAAAAAGAGACAGCTCAAAGACATACCAGTTCAACAGATAACCTACACTATGGATACTGAGGATTCTGAAGGAAATCTGACCACATGGCTAATTTGTAATAGATCAGGATTTTCAAGTATGGACAAAGTATCTAAGAGTGTTATATCAGCTCACAAAAACCAGGATATCACGCTGTTTCCACGTGGTGGAGTAGCTGCCTGCATTACTCACAACTATAAAAAGCCCCACAGGGCCTTCTGTTTTCTGCCTCTCTCTTTGGAGACAGGGTTGCCATTTCATGTGAATGGCCACTTTGCACTAGATTCAGCTAGAAGAAACTTGTGGCGTGATGATAATGGAGTCGGTGTTCGAAGTGACTGGAATAATAGTTTAATGACAGCATTAATTGCCCCTGCATATGTTGAATTACTAATCCAGTTAAAGAAACGATATTTCCCTGGTTCTGACCCAACATTATCGGTTCTACAGAACACACCTATTCATGTTGTAAAGGACACTTTAAAGAAGTTTCTCTCTTTTTTTCCAGTTAACAGGCTTGATCTGCAGCCAGATTTGTATTGCTTAGTAAAAGCTCTTTACAGTTGCATTCATGAAGACATGAAGCGTCTTTTACCTGTTGTCCGGGCGCCGAACATTGATGGCTCTGATTTGCACTCTGCAGTCATAATTACTTGGATCAACATGTCTACTTCAAATAAAACTAGACCATTTTTTGATAATTTGCTACAGGATGAATTACAGCACCTTAAAAATGCAGATTATAATATCACAACTCGCAAAACAGTCGCAGAGAATGTTTACAGGCTGAAGCACCTGCTTTTAGAAATTGGTTTTAATTTGGTTTACAACTGTGATGAAACTGCTAATCTTTACCACTGCCTTACAGATGCAGATATTCCTGTTAGCTATGTGACTCCTGCTGATGTTAGGTCCTTTTTATTGACTTTCTCTTCTCCTGATACTAATTGCCATATTGGGAAGTTGCCTTGTCGTCTTCAGCAGACTAATCTAAAGCTTTTTCATAGTTTAAAACTTTTAGTTGATTACTGTTTTAAAGATGCAGAAGAAAGTGAGTTTGAAGTTGAGGGACTGCCCCTTCTTATTACACTGGACAGTGTATTGCAAACTTTTGATCCAAAACGACCCAAGTTTCTAACAACATACCATGAATTAATTCCATCCCGAAAAGACTTATTTATGAATACATTATACTTGAAATACAGTAATATTTTATTGAACTGCAAAGTTGCAAAAGTATTTGACATTTCCAGTTTTGCTGACTTACTTTCCTCTGTGTTGCCACGTGAATATAAGACCAAAAATTGTACAAAGTGGAAAGACAATTTTGCCAGTGAATCTTGGCTTAAGAATACATGGCATTTCATCAATGAATCTGTAAGTATGAAAGAAGACCAGGAAGAAACAAAACCAACATTTGATGTCATTGTTGATACCCTCAAAGATTGGGCATTGCTTCCAGGAACAAAATTCACTGTCTCTGCTAGTCAGCTTGTGGTTCCTGAAGGAGATGTGCTGCTTCCACTGAGCCTCATGCACATTGCCGTTTTCCCAAATGCCCAGAGTGATAAGGTTTTTCACGCTTTAATGAAAGCTGGCTGTATTCAGCTTGCTTTGAATAAGATCTGCTCTAAAGACAGTGCATTTGTTCCTCTGCTGTCATGTCACACAGCAAACATTGAGACCCCCATAAGCATTTTGAAGGCTGTACATTATATGGTCCAAACTTCAACCTTTAGAGCTGAAAAACTAGTAGAAAATGACTTTGAAGCACTCTTGATGTATTTCAACTGTAATCTGAGTCACTTGATGTCTCAAGATGACATAAAAATTTTAAAGTCCCTTCCTTGCTATAAATCCATCAGTGGCCGCTATATGAGCATTGCAAAATTTGGAACATGTTATGTACTTACCAAAAGTATCCCTTCAACTGAAGTGGAAAAATGGACACAATCATCATCATCTGCCTTTCTTGAAGAAAAGGTACATTTGAAAGAACTGTATGAGGTGCTTGGCTGTGTGCCTGTAGATGATCTTGAGGTGTATTTGAAACACCTCCTACCAAAAATTGAAAATCTCTCTTATGATGCAAAATTAGACCACTTGATCTATCTGAAGAATAGATTGTCAAACATTGAGGAATCATCAGAGATTAAGGAGCAACTTTTTGAAAAATTAGAAAGTTTATTGATTATCCATGATGCCAATAGTCGGTTAAAGCAAGCAAAACACTTCTATGATAGAACTGTGAGAGTTTTTGAAGTTATGCTTCCTGAAAAACTGTTTATTCCTAAGGATTTCTTCAAAAAATTGGAACACCTGATAAAACCTAAAAATCAAGCTGCATTTATGACATCCTGGGTGGAATTCTTGAGAAATATTGGGCTAAAGTATATACTTTCTCAGCAGCAGCTATTACAGTTTGCCAAGGAAATCAGTGTGAGGGCTAATACAGAAAATTGGTCTAAAGAAACATTGCAAAATACAGTTGACATCCTTCTCTATCACATATTCCAAGAACGAATGGATTTGTTATCTGGAAATTTTCTGAAAGAGCTGTCCTTAATACCATTCTTGTGTCCTGAGCGGGCCCCTGCTGAATACATTCGGTTTCATCCTCAATACCAGGAGGTAAATGGAACACTTCCTCTTATAAAGTTCAATGGGGCACAAGTGAACCCAAAGTTCAAGCAGTGTGATGTGCTCCAGCTGCTGTGGACATCTTGTCCTATTCTTCCAGAGAAAGCCACACCGTTGAATATCAAAGAACAAGAAGGCAGTGACCTTGGTCCACAAGAACAACTTGAACAAGTTCTAAATATGCTTAATGTTAACCTGGATCCCCCTCTTGATAAGGTCATTAATAACTGCAGAAACATATGCAACATAACAACTTTGGATGAAGAAATGGTAAAAACTAGAGCAAAGGTCTTAAGGAGCATATATGACTTTCTCAGTGCAGAAAAAAGGGAGTTCCGTTTTCAGCTGCGAGGTGTTGCCTTTGTGATGGTAGAAGATGGTTGGAAACTTCTGAAGCCTGAGGAAGTAGTGATAAATTTGGAATATGAATCTGATTTTAAACCTTATTTGTATAAGCTACCTTTAGAACTTGGTACATTTCATCAGTTGTTCAAACACTTAGGTACTGAAGATATTATTTCAACTAAGCAATATGTTGAAGTTTTGAGTCGTATATTCAAAAACTCTGAAGGGAAGCAGTTAGATCCTAATGAAATGCGCACAGTTAAACGAGTAGTTTCTGGTCTGTTCAAGAGTCTACAAAATGATTCAGTCAAGGTGAGGAGTGATCTGGAGAATGCACGGGATCTTGCACTCTACCTTCCAAGCCAGGATGGTAGGTTGGTGAAGTCAAGCATATTGGTATTTGATGATGCACCCCACTATAAAAGTAGAATCCAGGGCAATATTGGTGTACAAATGCTAGTAGATCTTAGCCAGTGCTACTTAGGGAAAGACCATGGATTTCACACTAAACTGATAATGCTTTTTCCTCAAAAACTTCGACCTCGTCTGCTAAGCAGTATACTTGAAGAGCAGCTTGATGAAGAGACCCCCAAAGTGTGTCAGTTTGGGGCATTGTGCTCTCTTCAAGGAAGACTACAGCTTCTCTTGTCTTCAGAGCAGTTCATCACAGGACTCATTAGGATCATGAAGCATGAAAATGATAATGCTTTCCTGGCCAATGAAGAAAAAGCTATAAGACTGTGCAAAGCTCTCAGAGAAGGGTTGAAAGTGTCCTGTTTTGAAAAGCTTCAGACAACATTAAGAGTTAAAGGTTTTACTCCTATCCCTCATAGCAGAAGTGAAACTTTTGCTTTTCTGAAGCGATTTGGCAATGCTGTCATCTTGCTCTACATCCAACATTCAGACAGTAAAGACATTAACTTCCTGCTAGCCTTAGCAATGACACTTAAGTCAGCAACTGACAATCTGATTTCTGATACTTCATATTTAATTGCTATGCTGGGATGCAATGATATCTACAGGATCAGTGAGAAACTTGACAGTTTAGGGGTAAAATATGACTCTTCAGAGCCATCAAAACTGGAACTCCCAATGCCTGGCACTCCAATTCCTGCTGAGATTCACTATACTCTGCTTATGGATCCAATGAATGTTTTTTATCCTGGAGAATATGTTGGGTATCTTGTGGATGCTGAAGGTGGTGATATTTATGGGTCATATCAGCCAACGTATACATATGCAATTATAGTGCAAGAAGTTGAAAGAGAAGATGCTGACAATACTAGTTTCTTAGGGAAGATATATCAGATTGATATTGGGTATAGTGAATATAAGATAGTTAGCTCTCTTGATCTGTATAAGTTCTCAAGGCCTGATGAAAGCTCTCAAAGCAGAGACAGTGCTCCTACCACACCAACCAGCCCCACAGAGTTTCTCACTCCTGGTCTGAGAACTATTCCTCCTCTTTTCTCTGGCAGAGAGAGCCACAAGACTTCTTCCTCCAAACACCATTCACCCAAAAAACTCAAGGTGAATTCTTTACCAGAAATCTTAAAAGAAGTGACATCAGTGGTGGAACAAGCATGGAAGCTTCCGGAGTCAGAGCGGAAAAAGATTATTAGACGGTTGTATTTGAAATGGCACCCTGACAAAAATCCAGAAAATCATGACATTGCTAATGAAGTTTTCAAACATCTGCAGAATGAAATCAACAGATTAGAAAAACAGGCCTTTTTAGATCAAAATGCCGATAGAGCTTCAAGAAGAACATTTTCAACCTCAGCATCTCGATTTCAGTCAGATAAGTATTCATTTCAAAGATTTTATACTTCATGGAATCAAGAAGCCACGAGTCATAAATCTGAAAGGCAACAGCAAAGTAAAGAAAAATGCCCTCCTTCCACTGGACAGACGTATTCTCAAAGGTTCTTTGTTCCTCCTACCTTCAAGTCTGTGGGCAATCCAGTGGAAGCCCGGAGGTGGTTAAGACAAGCCAGAGCAAACTTCTCAGCTGCCAGGAATGACCTTCACAAGAATGCCAACGAATGGGTGTGCTTTAAGTGTTACCTTTCAACCAAGTTAGCTTTGATTGCAGCTGACTATGCTGTCAGGGGGAAGTCTGATAAAGATGTAAAACCAGCGGCCCTTGCACAAAAGATAGAGGAGTACAGTCAGCAGCTGGAGGGACTGACAAATGATGTTCACACATTGGAAGCTTATGGTGTAGACAGCTTAAAAACGAGATACCCTGATCTCCTTCCTTTTCCACAGATCCCCAATGACAGGTTCACTTCTGAGGTTGCTATGAGGGTGATGGAATGTACTGCCTGTATTATCATAAAACTTGAAAATTTTATACAGCAGAAAGTATGAAAGTATTTAAAGAGAAAAAAAGCAGAGCCAGATCTGTAGCACAAATATGAATTGCTGTACTTCATTAAGCTTCATTGTATCTAGGAAATGTGAAGCACACCACAGTTGTTCTGGAAGCATTTTGAAGTTGTGTGAATCCTAACAGAAACTTTAAATGAATTGAAAATTATTCTGAAGAGGGTAGTAAGCTGCAAAATTGCTAGTTGTGTTTGAACAATTGGGATGGCATATTACTGAACTGCACTTTATATAACCAAAGCTTAGCTGTTTGGTAGATAAGAGTCTGCATATGTCTCTGATTAGGAGAATGTTAATTTTGTTTTTAAACATATTTTTTAAGGAGCTAATGAAACACTGGACATACTGGTTTGAATAGATGAGGAAAATTAGGTCTTTGGGGTTTATCATTTTTAAGTGGACATTTTTAGATGCATTGTTTTCTATCAGCTGGATCTGATTATGAATTGGTTGTAATTTCACATCTTCAGTAGTACATTTAAAAATGGTACAGTATTTTAATCCTGACTATTACTTGACTAAGAGTATGAAGATAGTACTTGGAGTGCACTGGGTGCACTATACAGCTTTATTTTAAATGTTTTTTTTCATACCTTGTGTTTACAGGCTTCTTGTCTCATAAAGATAACCTATAGAAGATTCAAAATCATGGCAGTTCCCTTTACCAGATGTTAATATTGTTTCTTAAACTACTTACCATCACGGCATTTACCAGTAGAACATTGACTTTATGTTTTGTGTATACATTTTCACAAATGTCATAATTTAATAGTGTGGCTGACTGAACAGGATGCAGTCTTTTGTTGTCTAAAGGTGCTGCAGTTTAATAAATACTTTTGTCTTTCAAAATGGCACTTAGTGGGAGTTTTTAAAAAATTTTCTTTAAATATATTAAACTTAAGTTCATTGAAGTGATATCCAGTAGTTTATAACAGTGGGATTATCAGCTTGTATTTTCCACTGAGTGAATTAGAACTGACATTTAATTTTCATAATGTTCCAGAGTCTTGTCATGCATATTTAACATTTCTTTTGTAGAATGTCTAAGAAAAATAATAGTTTATATAAGTGTACTGGCTGTAAATGATGCTAAATATATTTTGTGCAATTAAGGGCTTATATACAAAACATGTTGGGACTTTTTTTTTTTTTTACTTTTGTTGGTAATAAGGAATGTTTCCATCTCTACAGTTACATTGCTTCTGAATGTGAAGTCATGTATATTTTCTGCTAATATAAGCACCATAATTTTAATAAAGCAACATGTATGTAGGAAATCTTGTAACTGGTTATTTGCTGGAAAATGTAGTTCATTGGAAGTAAAACTTAATTGCTTCCATGTTAATGGGTTTTGATTTTGTGTGTGTGTGTGTGTGTGTGTGTGTGTGTGTGCACGTGTGTGTGTGTGTGTGTGTGAGAGAGAGAGAGAGAGAGAGAGAGAGGTTGAGAGAGGTTTTAGTGTACATTGTTTGGCAATAGCCGCGTCTCAGCTGGCATCTCCTTGACACTTTGCTTGTCTCAGGCTGGTTCACATTTGAGCCGTGACAGACAGATGTTTTGTCTCTCAGATACTAGACTTTCCAAGTTCAGTGACTGAGGGCTAAAAATTGAGTTCTTGGGCTACCCAAATTCTGGGTGTCCAGCTTTATTTTGAAAGTGCTTGTTATTTTGAAGCCCAGATTCAGCACTTAAAATTTTCAGCAGTAAATTTACACAGAAAACCTTGTCTGGTCTTGATGATAGTTGATCTAGTTGAAAACAAACAGCACAGGTTCACGATGCCTTATATGAAACACTGGATCCAGATGTATTTTGGAATTTCACTTTAGTGAGTTAATTTGAGAGCCTGTAACTTTAAAAATTTTTATTTTAGTGTACGAGTATATTGCCTGCATGTATGTAAGCGCACCTATGTCATGCAATGACCAAGGAGGTCAGAAGAGGGCTTGGATCTCCTGGAACTGGAGTTACAGTTGTTAGCCACTGTGTGGGTGCTGGAAACTGAACCCGGGTCCTCTGCAAGAGCAGCCACTGCTCTTAACCACTGAGCCTCCTTTCCAGCCTCAAGCCTGTAACTTTTTAATGAAACTTCACCCTGGAGTTGGCAGCACCCTGCAGTCCTCTGCAGTAAGGCCATTAATCTCCACTGTAAGTTGACTTTGTAATCTTGGGAGATAGCCTTATACAGTTCAGATCAGGTTTTGTCACTAACCTGACTGCAGCAGCAGACATGACTGATATTTTTAAGACTTTGGAGTTGAGAGTAAAGAAATTCTGTCCTGAATTGTATATTTCATTGTCTTAAGCTTTGTTTTTCCCTTTTCTCATATTTGCTTCTCTTTTTGTGATAGTGGAACTGGATTCCTGGAGTAGGTACTCCTGAGTAGGCCTCAGTTGGGATGGGGTTGGAACAGCTCCTTCCCTGGGGATGTGGCAGAGTATCCACCCAGCAAGATGGTTTATAAACTGTGCTCTTTAAATGTTTTATACAATCCCATGATACGTGTGTAGTCCTGGTACAGAGAAGACATGATTTTAGTTACCATATCACTCAGGGTTCTGCAGAGAAATAGCCAGTGACATATGTTTGAGATGTACTGCCTGACATTGCCTGGTGCTTGGAAGTCTAGACTTCTGTTCAGGCTCACTAGCAGGAAGTTCTTACTAGGAGTGAGGTACACTCTGTAGGTGGAATTTCTCAACACTCTGCCTCTTAAATTTGTTCCCCATTTATTGTGTTTTTAATAGATATGGTGGTATAACTTAAAAAACCAACCCCTAAACATGGCAGGTTTGAGTATATAGTGAGAGCATTCCAGGCTTTCTGTTGGTGTCAGATCACAGCCTGATACGGTTTACCTATCAACATGACAAAATTAATCTGCATATATCCAAAGCTAAATTAGGTAATGTTTACTTTAAGATCATGAGTGTAAATGTGAAAACGTGTCTTTCATAGTAGAATAGGGGCTCTGGATGTACCCTTACGTGCCACGAATGTGGCTTTTGAAGTTGTACTTTGCTTGGTTAGCAATGTTTGACCTGTTGGTTTATACTTGAAGCAAAACTCATTTGTCTTCTGAATTGGTTAGTTTTCTGTTGCTGTGATAGAAACACTGACCCAAGCAATTTATAGAAGGAAGAGTTTATTTGGGCTTACAGTTTCAGGGGAATTACAGTCCATCACAGCAGGAGGCATGGTGGCTGGAAGTGGCTGGAGCAGGAGCAGCACAAGTGAAGCTCTCACATCACCACACAGGCACAGGAAGCAAGAGAGCAACTGGAGATCTGGCAGATTTTAAAAAAGATTGAACTGGGGCAGGAGAGATGACTCAGTGGTTAAGAACACTTGCTATTCTTCCAGAGGACCCGGGTTCGATTCCCAGCACCCACATGGCTAACAACCATCTGTAACTCCAGTTCCAGGGGATCTGACACCCTCTTCTGACCTGTGGGCACTGTATGACATGGGTGAACTTACATGCAGGCAGTGCACTCATACACATAAATTATATATATATATATATATATAAATTTCATGTGTTTTATGTGTTACCACTGAAAAGAGAGCTTTGTCAGTGAGCTGCAGTAGATGTACACCTTACCAAAACAGCATCAAAGAGTTCACTTTCTTCTTTCTCCTGCTTGAGAGGACAAGATGAGCGTGACCTGTTAGTTTTACAGATCCTATGGGCAAGAAGCTGCAGGCTAGCTGGACTCACACCATCTTAAGTGATAGGAGCTTCTTCTAAAATTGGTAAAAACAAAGCAAGCAATTTTCATCATTTTTTATGATGTGCATCTTTATAGTCACTGAATGGCCTCCACAAAAACCTAGGTTGTGTCTTGTTTTATTTTTACCAACATTTACACACTACAAAAGTCTCCTGTGAGCTGCATCTAGCCTTTCTCTGTTTTGTGGAAGCAAGCTCGGCAGGCAGGGTGTTCAGCACTTTCAGCAATGAGATCCTGATAGATTAAAAAGCTTTGGGTTTCAGTTTATTCATTTGTCAAATTAACATCATACCTCTATACATACAGCTGTTGAGTGGAATGAATGTATCAAAGTTTTTCTAAGTGAAAATAATAACGCAGCTTTAGGAACACATTTTGGGTTGATTTCAGTAATTACCTGGGGTCTTGTGCCTTATGGCTGACTAGTTTGAGTCTTTTTCACAAATAATTTGAGGAAAAATAATACCCACCTCAAAAGAGTTGTTGTGAACACTGAGGAAAGTAAGATACTCCTAAACTCTGTTCTCCAAAATGATGGTTTATTTTATTGCTCATTGGTATGTAGTGTAATTTCTTCCCTTAAGTACATATTGAAAATCAGATCAACTTCAAGTTCCCTTCAAGACCTGAAGAGGTTTGTTGTTTTGGTGAGACCTCACACACTCTACTCAATTGAATGGAGAACTAGTATAAAGAAAAGTATGGCACAGGTGGGACACTTTAGGATCGACCAGTCAGCCCTAGTTTTGTGAGGAGATAGATGACTTCTGTTGAGTATTATAAATTGCTTCCACATAGCAGTTCAACAGGAGAGATGGAGAGGGAGGCTAGGAAGGTAAAAAAACCCTTGACATTTGTGTTTGACACCCATGTGCTATTTTGAAATCCGGTCTTTGAGCCATAAGTTCCATTGGCATGTTTTCCCCTGCTGAGTGCTTTGCAAGTATGTCCTTGCACTCCCACCCTATCTCCTTTTGCTTGTGAAGGGTGTCCAACTGCCCAGAGTATGAAGAGAGTAGCCACACCTCTCAGCTCACTGGGACAACACAGGTGCTCTGCAGAAGAGGCAGCCATCAGAGACAGATGCGACTGTGTTCCTCACAAGTGGTGGCCTCACCAGCTGTAGACAGGTATAGCTTTCCATCAGGACAGACACAGATTTCATAAAATCCCTGAGCGCTGCCAGAGGGACCCTGGGTCCCCTGTATCAACTTGGGCAAACCCACAGTTTCAGCATCAAGGACCAGCTGTTTGGGAGAAAGTGAGACATGAGCTGTTAAAAAGTGGAATGAACTATACCCAGGGGAAATTCACATTCTCATCATGTTCCAAGAAAAGATAGTTCTTTGAAGAGAAAGTGAAGTAGGCACTTGTCTGACTCCCATGCTGTTGGAATGGACAGCTTCTTTTAGAACCGAGTTCCATTCTGCACAACGGCAGGGGCTGCCTGTCCTCTAGCTCAGACGGAAGCCACTTTTTGTTTTGCCCTGCAGCTGGGAAAACTGATCCTTTGTTCCTTTCACTTTGTTAACAAACAATATTGCTTTTCAGTTCTGTCATATTTTGCTCCTAAAAATGCATTTGGAATTATTTGACAAAACTAACAGAAATCTTTTGCCAGTTCACCTGCTGACTTTATGCTAAATTGTCCCCTTCCCGTTAGGGTAACAGTTCTCACAAATGGGTTCATTTTCATTTTTGCCTGTAAATGTTTGTGATTTATATTTCTAGGAGAGACAATTAAATTCACCTGTCAACCATGTCCCTAAAGTTTTAATATTTTCTGAAAACTTATACTAGGTGCTGAATGCAGTAGGCATAAGGATTAAAACCAATTTAAGTACAATGAAAAATGGATTTTTCATTAGTTAAACACAAATGTAAGAAAATGGCCATTGATGGAGGCTTAGAAGATTTTCAGCCAAGGAAATGAGAATTATCCCCCTGAGCAGCCAATCCTTTTCATCCTGGGCACGTGTTAAAAGGAAATGAGATATTTTGTAGATGAGCATAATTTATTCCTTGCTGACCACATTTGATCTTTTAATTCCTGTAGCTCTCGTCCATGAATTCCCATCTACTAATGAACAGACGTCTTCCCCCTGCCATGTACAACATGTGGATGCCTACCCTTTGTGGCCTTACATAGTGTCAAGAGTAGAGGCAGTCTAGTGGGGACTGACCACTGCCTGGGTATCTCTGGGTATTCACTTTTCCCTGGTGGGCTATTAACTTGGTCCCTGCCCTCTTCTTTCTTGTGGCTAAATGGTCAATTGTTTCTTTTGCTGCCACCAGCAGCCCACACTGTTCTGATCACCATGATGGATGGAAGTTCAGACATGTGCCTTTCCCTGTGAGCCAGGTCCTAGTCAAGGTAGTGGTAACTCAAATTACGGGTCCTGCTGTGTGTGCTATGTGTAAAGATGTTGCCTGGTTCACAAAGGAAATATAACCATTTCCCTTTTTTTGTGTGTGTGTGGTGTATGGTGACATTTTGACTTGGTAGTGAGATTCCAAAACTCTTGATTTCCATTTCTGTCTTTATCTGCTTCTGATTTCATAACCACATAAGCTACAATTTGTAGGTGACTTTTATGCCCCACTTGCAGGCTGTTGTTGAGTGGGTTCTGTCTATACACCCTGGAGTGGCCTCTCATGACCTTCTTTAGGACAGTACCACATAGTTCTACTATATCTTCCTGTTCGTTGCAATCAGCTTATGTTCCAACCTGTTGCTTTACTGTAGAACTTTCAGGAACAGTTCTGGCATGTCTGGTTTTCCCACTAACAAAAACAAGATTCTAGCAGTGGATATAATGTATCCTGTATTTGTCACACTGTCTTTCTGAACTTGAATCCCTGACAAGAAACTTACTATAGCTGACCTTCAAAAAAATGTTCATTTTTTTCCTCATTCATTTTCATTTTCACTTAATTCTGTGCAAGCAAGCATAGCCCTCTGGGCAATAACAGAAGACAGTTGTCATTTACGTGTAACCCCAGTGACAGCCATGCCGAGAGAACTTGAAATGGAAAATTTGGTGGTTTTCGTACAACCCCAAAGTCTGTAGTGTTTTCTCACGCTGAAAATAACAAGTGACTTGGTGAGATATGCACCAGTCCAACAAGGTGGACAACTGCAGACTTGCAGACTGATTCTAACCTTCTGTGACCTACCTTCATTGCTTAAGTGTACTTTCCTTTTTCTTCATACTTTCTGAGCTATGCCTCTCACAAAGTTCCATTACAAACCAACAGAAGCTTAGCATACTGACACCCTGGTAGACGTGGCACTCAGGACATACAATTGGAGCTCAGCTATTAAACTCACTGCTCCATCGCTGCTCTGCAAGATGATGTCCATTTGAGAAAGGGCCTTGATTTTTCCAGCATGAGCTTTAATGTGAACCCCCCTTGGGGCATCCATGCTTAGACTCCGAGTTGGAGATTCTAACCTGAAATGAGAAAAAAACATATTAAAAGCCACCCTTGACCTGGGCACAACAGTACATGCTGGTAGCCCTGGGTATTTGGAAGCCTGAGGTGGAGTTCTGGGCCAGCCAGGACCAATAGTGAAGGAGGAAGAAAAACCATCCCATTCAACCCTTAGTGAATGGCATAGCATAGAAAATGTTATTAATGAAAGACGCAGAATCTTCACGATTCCTGACGTCACCCATGAATGATGACACGCTCTGCATTGCTCATTGATAAATCCAGAAATAGTAATAGAGAAACAAGTGTCCTATTGATGACAGCCTATTAAATTAGTGTCTTCTGAAAATGGGACCAGTCCGAAGATAGCCATAATCCTGCACAGGATTCAGTTGACACCACTTATCACCCAGCATGGCACACCAGAAGAAAATGTCATTGGTGAGCAGCTAAAACTATGACAGCACAAACATGAGAGAAAAAAAAAAGACAGATTTAAGGACAAATATATTTGCTACATGTTCACACGATGGAATAAAATGTTTAGCCTAGCTTTCAGTTCCTTTAAAAATCTTTTTAAGTTACTTAATTTTATTGTGTATGGATGTGCACGCATGTGTGGAGACCAGAGGACAACCTTGAGTGTGCCTCAGGAGCCGTCAACCTTGTTTTATTTTCTGAGATGCAGTCTCTCATTGGTCTGGAGCTCACGTTAGGCTGGGTTGCTGGCCCGAGACACCCCCCTGTTGTCAGCTCAGTTCTGGGATTACCAATGCATATGCCGCTGGGCCTGGCTTTGTTATGTGGTTTTGGGCACTGAACTCAGGTGTCATGCTTATGTGGCAAACACTTTAGTGACTGAGCTTTCTCCCCAGCACCACTAAAAATCATTTTGAATTTAGAAAGATCCCAGGGCATGTGAAGATTTCTTCTGGAAACACTGAAGTGATAAGGTTAGTAGACAGGATGCTTGTTGACTCCAGCTGGCTTTGTTTTAGGTAAAATTGATCAAGATTGTCTATGGTTGGGCCAAATAAACATAGGCACAGAACCAGGAATATCAGTACCAGAAATTTTCTCTTATTTGCCTCTGCATGGAAAAGGATAATTGTACCAGACAGCACAGTACGATTACCTGAAAGACTGTCAGCTGTTTATCCTCAAAGCTTGAAAAACCGATTTCACCAAACTGTCTAAGCTTAGAGCAGTAAGTGGGAGAACAGACAGTAAAAGATGTGCAGTTCAGAAATCCTGCCCGTCATGGGGAAGCACGAATGGGGTGAGGGGTTGGAAGGGGGGCCCTGAATTATGGGTGCCTTAGGAATAAATTTGCATTTTTGCTTTTAGACTAATATTTATTTAGTGGATTTATTTTTTAATATTAGGCATGAAAGTCAGAACCTCATGCATGCTAAGCGACCTCTTTACCACTGAGATATACACCCAGCCCGTGATAAACTTTAAAATCAGATGGATACATGTTTAATTGGTATTTTGTTTTTATTCAATGTACTTTATGAACATATATTAATTTTACAACATAATGAGTTTCATTATGACATTGTACACACATATAATGTGCCTTGATCATATTCACATTCCATCTCCTTTTGCCTCCCTGCCCCCTCTTACCACTATTTCTAAGACAAAACTTTACTTCCATACATACATCTGAGCATGTAAAATTTGAAATCTTGTCTTGAATATGAGTAAACCCTAAAGGACATTTATGGAAGTGATTAGTCAAATTAGGTTTGGCTTCATTTATGGAAACACTGGTGAGTCTCCAGGCACTTGCTCTGACTGCCTGTCAGTGTAGCTGGGCAGTATTTTGCCTGCCTGGAGTACTGGAAGGAAAAACACTTCCAACTCTTATAGGACAATCACACGTGGCCTTGACAGTCATGGTAAAGATGATCTCATTCCTAAGGTCAGTTACTAAATGCAGGAAACTGACCCAAGCCATTAGAATACTTAACTGGGGGGGGGGAGGGGGGGGGGAGAGAGAGAGAGAGAGAGAGAGAGAGAGAGAGAGAGAGAGAGAAGAGGGAGCCAGAGAAGAAGAAAACCCCCTGCTGTTAATGATGAGTGGGAGTGTGGGAGTTGAGGGTTGAGGTGTTGGAACATATGGAAGTATACATGGACACAGGCCTTAGGCCTGTACATCATTCTCTGTAGGAGTTGTATTTAACTGCTTGCGGGGGGGGGGAGGTGTTGCTGATCTGGAAATGGATGTGAGGGTGGGACAGGGTATTTGGCATTGTGGTGAAGTCCATGCACTTAATACTTAACACACATAAAACAAAACAGTATTTCAAAGGACATTGAAAACTTGCAAGTATGAATGTAAGTATGAGAATATTCAAAACTATGGTATAGTGATTCAGAAGCTTATTTAGCTATGCATTTAATAAGATTTACCAGTCCAACTTTCAAGGATTGTAATTCTGAATTAGAGGAGAGGAATTATTTTGAGACATATACCATAACTTTCAATGGCTCATGGTTTGAGGGAATACAGTCCATCATGGTGGAGAAAGCACAGCAGGCAGTGTGTGCTCTGTGGCACTGGGAGCTTGAGGTGGCTTGCTCACATTTCAGTAGGTCAGGAAGCAGAGGGTACGCAGAACCTGGTTATGACCCAAACACTCCCTACCACCAGCAGCACTTCCTACATCTAAGCCCTACCTCCCGAAGATTTCACAACACCCAAAAGCAGTGCCATCAACTGGGGACTAACTGTCCAAACACATGAACCTGGGTAGGGCATTCTACATCCCCACTATAACAGATCATTTGTTTTAAAAATATTTGGGGAGCTGGGGACATGGTTCAGTGGTTAAGAGCACTGGCTGCTGTTTCAGAGGACCCAGGTTCAGTTCCAAGCACCCACATGGTTGCTAACAAATGTCCATAACTCCAGTTTCAGGGGTATCCAATGCCCTCTTCTGGCCTCTGTGGGCATGTGGTGCATTTACATGCTTGCAAGCAAACAATCATACACATAAAATAAAAATAAATAAAAATATTATTTGACTTTTGACATGAAACAAAAATGTATTAATGGAATTAACAGGGGACACCTAAGATTCAGCAGTCTAGTGATAAGGTGAAATACAGACTTTGTATGGAGCTAGGTGATTTTATATATTTAGGATAGTCATGTACAAATACACACATTGAGGACATAGACCAAAGGAAACAACGTATTTCCTTTTATACAAGGTACTTAGAATAGTCACATTCATCGAAGTAGAATGGTGGTTACCAGGGCTGGAGCTGGAAGGGGAGGATGAAGATTTATTTAATGGGCACAGTTTTAGTTCAAGGAGTAGAAAAGAGTTCTGGAGATGGAAAGTGGAGATAGTTTAAAAACATTTTGAGTGTACTTAATGCTACTGAACTGTGCTCTAAAAATGGCTAAGAAGGTAAATTACAAATGATATATCTTATACCATAAATAAAGGAATACCAAAGCTTTCTAACATTTTTTGCAAACTTGAATTTATCCCATACTTAGTTCTATAGTGTTCTCTCCTTAACTAATAGTGCACACATATATTTAAATTAAAGTAAATTGACATTTCCAAGAATGCTTTTTTGCGAACTTAGAAGTCTATATGGGTTGCTCTTCTCTTCCATGTGGCTTTGCTTTGTTTGCAGGTGGGGTAGACATGGAGAGTATAACAAAAGGGGCCGCCATCAGAGGGAAGAGTGTGTGTAAAAGCCTGAGGTAGGAAGGGTGGCAGCTGCTCAAGCTGGGAGGCAGGTGAGAGAGGAGAGAGCTGCCAGTCACAGTCCTAACTTTGAAGAACTCTGAGCACCCACCAGATCCCTTTGGGTTTCCCCATGGCTGATGCAGAAGCAATGGAGCACTTTAAACAGTACACTGAGCAACATCCCTCTGACAGGACTGTGAAGTGCAGACTCCCACAGTTCTACTCAGCTTGAACAGGGGCAGTGGGGACAGGGACAGTAAGAGCTGTGGAATCAAAGTAAAGTTTCCAACCAGCAGTTCTTTTGACTTCCCTTAGACTTCATAAGTAATGACCAGTTACATGCCGAAAGCCATGAAAATGAGGGTGACTAACACAGTAAGCAATGATCTGGTGACAGTGTATGCACGTGACTGCAGGGCACACCCAGTTGTTTTCGATAAGTTTGTTCATATTTAAACCAATCTCCTTACCTAAGGTCTTGATATGGGTTTGCTGTGACAAAGGGGGTCTCCACCGAGTGTTCAAAAAGAGCTCCTTCTGGCCCTAAAGAAGGAACAAAAGTAAAATGAGTGGCATCAAGCAAATTCAACAATTCAGTCCATCCTGGGAGGTTGAGCATCCCTAATCTGAGAATCCCAAATGCTCCAACATCTGAGTTTTTTGAGAATTAATACAAGTAGAAAATTCCAACACTAACCTCATGTGATGGATCACAGTGAAAATGCAGGCTCACTAAACACATTGTAATACAGTTACCTTCAGGACAGGAAACAAGTGAATTTCATGTGTAGACTACAGTCTCATTTCGATGGCACCTAATTATGCACATGATTCCAAAATCCAAAAATGTCCAAGACCTCAAACACATTGGGTTCCAAGTATTTTGTCTAAGGGTTGCTCAGCCTGTAGATTTTATCCTTTTTGTTGAATTTGCAGAGATGTTTGAATTTCAGGTTAAAAAGGTACACATATTTATCTTTTTGAAGCTACCATGACCAACAGAGTGTTATTTTTTCTTATTTTGGTCTTTCTGAGACCTGTAGTCACAGCTGGATTTGCTATGAAGACCAGAAGACCAGGCTGGCCTTGAACTCAGAGATCCACCTGCCTCTGCCTCCTGAGTGCTGGGATTAAAGGTGTGCACCACCATGCCCGGCCAGAGTGTTATTTTTTCAAACCTGTCACAAGTCAATAGATTTATTTTAAAACAAGAACAATATCAGTTATCAAAATGAAAAAAAGTAATAGCTCTTATTAAAATTGTACCCATCTATATATTTTCCATTATGTTGAGTGTGTGTGTGTGTGTGTGTGTGTGTATGTAAGTTGTGTCCTGTACCATTTGTTTCTAAGGTCCATCAGAAAAATCTTTTAGAACTCTAAACATCTAAAATCGACACTAGCACTTTCGGAACCAGCAAATTCCCGGTAGTACATTTGTCTGAGAAGCAGAACACAGGCCAGGCTCTCCATCAACTGGCTGCAGAGATGCACACAGGGCAGGCAACTTTGCTGCTTATTATATCCCAAGCTGTAGAGCTGTGATTTGGACCCAGAACTCACATTTTAAATCTACATGCTGTAGGGCCTCCTATACACGAATAACAGGGATTGTAGAAGGCACTGTGCAAAGCACATCTTCTTTATTTGGGGGTCAGAGTTACCTTAAGGAGCAACGAAGACTATATAGCACAGGGCAGGTAGTGTGGACTTTACAATAGATAGACATTTGTGAACATGTGGAGTTTGCAGGAGAAGGTGTTGAGTGCATTGGCATGAATGGATAATTCACTTCACTGGAAATCTCAGCAGGGGAATGAAATTCATTGTCCAGTTATAGTTAGACTTCCTCATTTTGGATTTTATGGCATATGCACAGTCAAGCAGCATGACATCATCTATGCACGCCTGCCCGGGTTTAGGAGGCACTGCTGCCTGGGCCCCACCCTTATCCAGGCTCTACCTCTGGTTCAGGCCACACTCTGTGTACGCTTTCTCCCCTGCTTAGCCCCCCTTCCCCATTTAGGCCCTTCCCTCCCCTATTTTCTTCCCCTGGCTTAGAGGGTAGCTGCACTTCACAGATAAGTTATTTCTCTCTCTCAATCTCACAAGGATCTCAGAACCCATCCTCACACTGAGTAGACTTTCCTCTTTAGGAAATACTGAAAAAGTTGTAATGTTTATTTTCTAACCTACCCCTGTGGTAGTTTTGATACCAGGCATTGAAAAGAAAAATTGCCTGGGTGAAAGTTTCCCAACTATGAGGTTGAGAAACCTCCCCCTGGCAAGGGCCTTGTCAGCAGCCCTGAATGACAACCCATCACTGTGCCTGTGGTCCCCACCATGCTAGGAACTGTATTAGCTTCATTATTACAAACCAGGTTTAAGTATGAAGACATGACAAGACCTCACATAAAGGTTTTCCTTCAAGAAATAATAGCATGTAGCACATAAGTAAGAGATTTGTATCAGTACAAAATGAAAAATTAAAACCAGATTTGTGACGTGATTTGCATAGACACTATCATAGCTGAAATAAAGAACCACGGCTGGAGATGTAGCCCAGTGGTAGGGCACTTGTTCAGCGTGTGGGAGGCCCTGGGCTCCATCTCCAGTACTGAAAAAAATCATGACGTAATGGAACACGTAAGTCAAGGTTGAAGTCCTTGAAGTGATGTTCTTATTCATGCAAATTATATTCATACGAGAAACAGATCCTCATACATATTATAACAAGTCCCATCTCCAAACAGCACCACAAATTTCACCAATTGTGGGGGGCCACAGTATACAGCAAGGCCACAGAAGCATACCAGTTGCCACAGTCACTTGTGCAATAAAATTTTATAGTGGCATTTAGTTTGCCTGAAGACTGGATAACATGTTGTATTTGGCATGAACCAGGAAGTGATCCAGCACAGTGATTTCTATGATAGCTGTCTCCCCTTTACATTCTCATCCCTTTCCTTCTTCCTTGTTTCTTTTTATTTGAAAAATATAAAAGAAAAGGTAAAGGAAAATGCACTGTAGAGCAATCTCTGTCAAGACAAATGGGGAACTGCTAAGGATATTGTTCCACAGTTAGGTTGATTTGGTTTGCACAGCATTGCTTGAAAGGAGACGGAGCACTTTATTGGGAGGAGACTAAGTACTCTTTATAGATGCTGTAGCCCGGAAAGCACTTATTCCTCCTAAAAGTGTGAGATACAGGCGAGGCCACCCTGGGAAGAAGGGTGGAGCCTAGCCACCTGGAGAGTTAGTGTGGTGGCCAGATTGGAACTGGAGAAAGGAAGTGTGTGCTGCTGCCTGGGCGAATGGCAGGGGCGTCCTGCAAGCCTGGAAGCAAAATGAGGCATTTACAGACCTGGGGTGAGACCGTGCGCCCACTGGGTGCAGGTGAAAGCTAATGGAAACTGTGGCTGGGGTGCGAAAGCTCGGCTGCTGTGCTGGGCGGGCTGTGAAAACTATCAGGGCTGATGTGCTGCAGGCCCACCCAGTTTCTTTGTAAGTCATCCCCTCACTCCCTACCATAAAGGACCATGCAAACCCAAACTAAATATGTCGTATGTTAGTCTGTGAGCCTTGGGGCCTTGGGAGGGAGCTGGGCGGGGGGCTCCCAAGAAGGGAAAAGGGAAGAAAATTTAGTGCAATAGATACACTGATCCCCAGGACAGGATGACGTGAGAGCATCACACGTTCTGCGCAAACGGCTTTTGAATCCTTGACTTGTGGTCTTTACCTGGGCTGATGACATGGGTGCAATATTTTTATTTAACATATTTATTTATTTATTTATTTATTTATTCATTCATTCTTTCATGTGTGTGTATTTTTGTGTATGTGTGTACTTTTATTTTTGTGTGTGTGTCCATGAGACACATGGCACATGTGTGGAGGTCATTGAAAAACTTCATATTTATTTAACATTTATTTATTTATTTATTTATTTATTTATTTATTCATTCATTCTTTCATGTGTGTGTATTTTTGTGTATGTGTGTACTTTTATTTTTGTGTGTGTGTCCATGAGACACATGGCACATGTGTGGAGGTCATTGAAAAACTTCATATAGTCAGTCCTTCTACCTTTACATGAGTTCTGAGGATCAACTCAGGTCACCAGGCTTGCATAGCAAGTGCTTTTACCTGCTGAGCCATCTCTCTAGCCCTGGGTATAACATTCTCTTGTGACACTGGGCAACATCAGTGAGCTGCATTCCCCAGTGGCCCAGGTGAGCACATGGTTACGACATGTATATTGTGCTTCTGAGTTAGATGAAGCAGCCAAACCATAGGTTGATGAAAGCATTCTGACATGTTGGAGGGAGGCTAGGAAGATAGTGTTCAGTAGTTAGGAGTACTAAATTCAGTTTTTTGTTTTGTTTTGTGGTATTTCTAGCTTATGATAGGTTTATTGGGATATACACTGTAAGTCAAGGTTAAGAAAAATTTTAAAATAATGATTTGTTTTGTGAGGATGTGGTGGCACATGCCTGTGTTCCCAGTGTTCAAGAGACAGTGACAGGGTTGAGGAGATGACTAAACAGGAGTACATACTGCTCTTACAGAGGACCTGATTTTGGATCCTAGGACCCATGACAGGTGGCTCACAACTTCTTGTGACTCTAGTTCTAGGGCATCCAATGCTCTCTTCTGGCCTCCAAAGGCATCAACACTCATATGCACATACCCATACACAGACCATACACATATACATAATTAAAATATTTTTAAAAATTAAAAAAAATGGGCAGAGGCAGGAGGATTGTCTAAGTTCAAGGACAACTGGGACTGCAGAGTGAGTTCCAGGTCAGCCAGGGCTATGTAGTAAGACCTTGTCACAAACAAATCTTTTCATAGCTAAGTTATAGAAACAAAATGTAAGCCATAGACTTTGTGCAATTACTTTATGTAGTTTAAGATGTACAGAATGGTATGATGTCTGCCTTGTTAGGAAATCAAGCTAGATATTGCATATATTTCACTGGCATGCAAAATTAATTAGTTAGCTAGTTAATCGCCAGCAATTCAGGAGCTAGAACACAGGGCTTCTCCAGTGTGCTAAGTAGGCACTCTACCACCAAGCTCCAATACCCAGATCTGTACAGGCAACTTTTATTTGAGGTCAGCTTCAATTCTGCTTCCCTTAAGCACAGAAATTATCCAGAGTCAGTGGCACTGTGTTATAGGGAAATATAACTGAATAATTTAGTTTCATATACACCGGGATTACCTTCTACCATGACGGTGATAAATGATATTACGTTGCTATGTGATTACGGTAATGTGGTTAAAAGCATACGTAAAACCCAGTGTTTTAATTTTGAAATGAAAATGGCTGTTTCTCTATCACTGAACCTGTAAATACTCACATGAATGACCTTAATTATATACTTACCATTCAGCCATCAAGTATATAATCCTCATACCTTATTTGCATATGGAATGGATTTTCCTGAATGATTTTATAAAAAAATACTTAGTGATTATCTATCTTCCATGTAACCGTATTTTCTTTATGTTTACACTTATTTAAATATTAC